AGACTTTAAGGCATTTGCTGTATCTGGAAGTTACTGCAGGGAATTAGTGTCACAGCAATGTCCTACTTAGGGCTGTCCAACACTTTGCCTGTTCAGATTTTTTATTAAAATCTTCAGGAAATTATTTTTCTTTGTTTTTGCACTGAAACACTTCAGCTGATTAGGGTTACACTTCACCAGTGACATCAGTCTGTGGTTGTATCTTGAGTGGATGCGATGGGGAACTCGAGCAAAGCACAGTGTCCTCCGTGTCACATTCCCGCCGACGCTCCCAGGGAGGGTGCGAGCGGCTGTCGGTGTATTCACGGCCCCCGAGCGCCTGGCATTGGAGCTGAATGATCACCAGGCTGGAAATTGGCTCGAATGGCCAAGACTTTCTTCTCATGTAGTTAAATATAAGGGCAGTGTGTGATTTTACACCCTGACTGACTGCATCTGTTTATTTATTAATCTGCTTGTTCATTTTTAATGGCCTTGCTGAAGTGGGGAAAACTGTGTTTTACAGGTTTCTAATACTAACTTTCTTTTTCCAGAAGGAGTGTGAGTGTGAGTGTGAGTGTGAGTGTGAGTGTGAGTGTGAGTGTGAGTGTGAGTGTGAGTGTGAGTGTGAGTGTGAGTGTGAGTGTGAGTGTGTATTACCTATCCTTATGGGGACATAATGTCCCCATAACGTGATAAATATCAGTTTTTTCCCCTTATGGGGACCGGTTTCCTGGTCCCCATAAGGGAAAACTCTATTTTATAAAAATCGGTGACTGCTATGAAAAAACTAAAAATGCAAAAACTCTTGTATTTTGTTTGGTTACTTATGGTTATGGTTAGGGCAGGGTAGGGGTTAAGGTTGTCATAGTTAGCGTTAGCATTTATCCCATTGAAATGAATGAGCGGTCCCCATAAGGATATGTATACCCTACATGTGTGTGTGTGTGTTGGGGGAATGGCTTAATGTGACAGGCGCTCAGAATGCACACATCCACACTGATGGCAGGATGATGCTCTCAGCACGGTCTCCTCCACACGCTTCTTTTTCCTCCAGTTGTCCTGGCAAACATTTGGGATATCATGGCAATAGTAAAAGTAGTGAAACAGGGTGGCATCTTTTGGTTACTAGTTTTGGGCGGTGTCCCTTGGTGCTGACACTCCTGCCTCAGTCTTACCCCCCCACCACCCCTCCTGTTGTTTCACAGTGGTGTGCTTGCCCAGCGGAAGACTCATAAAAATCTGGGGTGGGGGTCTTTTCTGATGAATTTTCAGTAGAATAAGGGTTAGCTTGTGGCTCAGTGGGCTAAGCCTGTGTGCCTGTAATCATAAGGTTGCTGGTTCAAACCCAGCCTCAGCATGTCTGTGGGTCCTTGAGCAAGGCCCTTAACCCCCAGCTCCCTGGGCGCTGCTACGGGTGGCTGCCCTTCACAGACAACTTATGAACAAGTTGAGGGAGGCATAAAGACAATTTCCCCACGGGGATCAATAAAGTATTGATTATTATTATTAATATTGAGATGAGCCCTAGCCTGCGGATTAGTGTTTGCTCCACCGTGACCGTGACAGTTTGCCTGGTGGCTGTATGGTAATGAGCTGGCAGCCGAGGTCTCTGTGCTCATTCCAGGAAGTCAGTCAGTTAGTTTTAAATAAAGGAGGTTTTTCCTCTGTTGAACAACAAGAACGGAAAAAAATATGTAATTACGGTTGCTGTTTGCTGTAGTGTGGTCGTCACAGCCCCAAAGCTACAAACAAAGGCTGGGTCTGAATTTAGGGGCTGCATCCTTCTAAGGCTGCGTCCAAAGACTGAATGCGTCTCAGCGGCGCGACAAGGCTGTACCACTTCGAAGGCTCATTCAAACAAGGTCTAGAAACGTCCTCCTTTGGCTGAGTCATGAAAGATCTACCCGTTGGATCCTTTGCAGCCCAACATATCCATTGCGCAAACCTTCAAAAGATGCAGCCCACAAAGGCTATATAGGCCACGTTTTTCAAAGGATGCAGCCCCTGAATTCAGACACAGTCATTGTCAGCTGTCAGGTGTTTCCAAACAATCAAACACTAAGCCACAACAGTGTTGATTTGTTATAGATGCAGAATGCTGTTTTTCCTGTGAGAAGCGTTCAGGCCTCCTGTGGTTTCCATTGGATGATTTCGCTGGTGCTCTTCGTAATTAAAGCAAATTTTTGATGTTCATGAGAAATGGAACGAATTTGAATCAAATCATTTCATGCCTGTGTCAACAAAGGACAGATAATTGTTTCCCGCCATGGCCTGAACTCGTTCTGCTAAATTACGGTCAGGAAGTCTGCAGGAATGCATCCCCAATTGCAGCCTGGTTTTTTCATTAAGAGTGTCTGTCATGCAGATAGGAATTGATCTGGGGTAACCATGTGTTGAGGATGCCTTGTCAGACTTAAGAAGAAAATGGCCAAACTAACTGCTCAACCATTTCACATTCATATGTGAAGAGAATTTAATGTCAGTATTTTTAATGGGAGTTTGATCATTTTTTTGTAGTCATGCATCCAAGTCTCTGGTCCAGCTGATTGTTCCTCTAGTTCTCTCACCTCAACAATAAGCTCCTTGGTCTTCAAAGCAGAGCACCATCCTCTGCCTGTCCTCAAGTCCTTCACCTCCAGAATATGAACCTGGACAATCCAGAAATGCACATATCCAAAGACCCATATGATAAGGACCCCTACTTTGGCACAGAGGTGTCTGCAGTTGGATACCTTTAGCTTCATTGCAGATGGGCACGTGCCCCAACAGCAATGCAAACCACCTTAGCTGGTTCTGTGACGTCCAAATGGATGTGTTCACAGTCCTGAGAAGGGTCATGATCTTTGTGTGGTCTGCGGGGGTCACTTATGCTGATCCTATAATCTTTAGCTCCCCCTTTATCCACTCTGCTTGGCAGTCATTTCTTGCAGTACAGATGATTTGGATCATGTACAAATTCTGACTGCTTCCCAACTGCAGTTACTTGCGCTTTCTGCAAGGAAATCATTCACACTCAAACTCACAGATTTAATTCTGGTTTTTAGTATACAGGCAGTCCCTGGGTTAAGGATGGCTGACTTACGGACAACTCGTACTTACGAATGGGCTGATGACGAATTTACATATTTTTTCTGTGTTGTTGTGAGGTTTCCTCAGGGTACTCCGGTTTCCCCCCATAGTCCAAAAACATGCTGAGGTTATTTGGAATTACCAAATTGTCTGTAGGTTGTTCCCTGCCTTGCCGCCCATTCTCCCTGGAATAGGTTCTGGAATGGACCCCCGTGAGCCAGAAATGGACAAGTGCTATAGGAAAAAAAAAAATGAATAATTGACTAGAAACAAGTGCATGGTAACTGTGTGAAAAACAAGCCATACAAACTGCTTTAAAAATTCACATTTGAAATCAGAAATGCTATAACTTGTCATTAAGACATACAATCAACCCACAAATATCTCCCAAAAAGTAAGAAATCCTAATAAAGTCATTACCAAAAATGCAAGAGTGTCAATTAGTGTCCAGCAAACCACTTCATAATAGACTGAGTCAGTGGTAAACAGTGAACTGTGAGAACTGGCCCTGCTGGCAGAGGCTCGTACAGAAGACCGGTGTGGATGCCAGTCTGTGTACCATTCCTGTGTGATTGCAGGCCTGGCTCTGTGAGCTTGGGGTGTGTGAGGGGTCTCCAGTGCGGGCATGCATCCCAAAAGTTAACTGCTTAAATGAACTTGTAAATTCCACACAAGTACTGCAGGGATTCAAATCCCCAACCATAGGAGCCTTCGTTAGTAGTGCTTCGTACTAAGGTTACCCTACCACGCTAGACTAAATTGTACAAAGATGAAATATACTTCCTTTTTCTCACAGCGTGCCTCAGCTATGGTGCACTACGGCTGGGGCTTTGCATGCTGCTGCCACAGTGATTTGCAGTGTTTGGTATGAGAGCAATGCTGGTAAGGCGACGGTCTTTCCCGTAAGTGAGCTGGAGCGGTCCTAGATTACATTCTCCTTCGAAATGTGCAGGCAAACCTATTCTTTAAACAAGCAAAGTGAAAATAATGGACGAACCGGAGTGTAAACAAGCGTTTTGGACAATGTTGAAGGAAAAGACAATAACAATGGCGATGACTTCCAAAAGGAAATCAAACCCAAGGGAAATTCTGTTTAATGCGCGCTATATTACATGCCTCTGCAATTAGGTGGCATGAACACTGAGTGTTTATGTTCAGATAAAGTATACAGTAATTTACCATACCTGCTAACACGATTTCCCGTTTCTCCCGATTTTCTAGCCCTATCTTTCCCCTTGTTAACTTTGACATTAACCGGTAAAAACTAGATATAAATGCCAACCACGTATAATTTTGCGGTTATCTATTGTAATAATTCGCTTCAACCGTATATCTGGCAGCTATAAACCACTCTCTGTGCCATAAAACGTGTGTCACAGAAGCCGGACAAAACCCCGACACGCTGCCACCAAGTCCCCTAGCTGTCGCAGAAAGCAGGACCCGCACAGACACACCTGTCACCTGTAAGAGATCCCCCAGGTTAAGCTCGATCGGGTCTAGCTAGTGTTCCCCCTGTGTGTGTAAGCATCGCCATGGCAAAACAACTGTATTTAAGAAACTTGCTGGGAATCTGGAGGTATTTAAAGGATTATACATAGTGCGGATAGCCTATATGTTAATAATATAACCAAATCGGCGTAATGATTTGTGCATTAAGGACAACAGACACGCTCTTTTATAAAAACAAGCATCTTGACTTTTATTAACAGCTCACTGCTAGGGGTTTGACTTTTTCTAAGAAAGATTATTGGCATCGGGGTTAAAATACTCGGGGCAAGGCTTAATTAATGTACTCAGGGCTATAGCCCCAAGTGATCGGACCTAACGACGCCCATGGAAACCACTATGCAACTACATGCACACCGAGATAAACACATTACAATGCAGGCACAGGGTAAACACGCAGATATACACATACATTTACAGATCACATGACGACGTACGTTCATTGCTCGCCGAGTGTTGCCATATGATAAAGCTACCAGTGTTTTAGCACGTTTAATGTAACGTTACTGGCATTAATTAACCAGACTAGCATGCATCTCGATCAAGGCAAAAAACGTGCATCGTGAGGTGAGTCTTTGGATATTTAGACTATAATACAAGGAGAGGCGGAAACGCAAATGCATCACTCACCTTACAAAAAGGGTTGTAAATCCCTGACCTAGGACAACGATTCAATCAAAAACATTGGGGTGAGGTATTTAGAACACGTGGCGTCTAAAAATTCCGTTTTACGTGTTTTAATAAGCAGGAACGTAACATTTTATTGTAATGTATAATTTGACATGAATAGGATTAGTAATACGGATAGGCTTCCAAATAGCTTGTGAATGATTGATATTAACAAAAACATGTTCCTATAAAGAAAACAAAGGTTTCGCACAATTTTATGTTCATGATTAATTGTCCATGTAGCCTAACTAATGTATAACAATTTAACTTCCACACATGCAATTGCTTCAGTGTTTCGGTTCTTATCACTGTTACCATGAACGTTACCGTGCATGATAAGATCTGAAATATGTTTAGTTTTACTTTCAGACCTGAGTTAAAGTGTATAACGTTTCATTTCCCCAAACTCCTCCCATTTACGTCATGAAATGACCCTTTTCCAAGTGGAGTTGCCCGGTCTGTATTAGTTTGTTCTGCAGGAGCCGTGATTATTGCATCCCTCATTCAGGAGTATCTGGGAGTTTCCGTGAATTCCAGCGCCGCTATAAAGCCGAGCGCCGGGACTTTTCCGCATTTCTGTTCAGACGATCCGCTGAAGGATGGCTGCCATCAAAGCGCTGCAGCAGTGGTGCAAACTCCAGTGCGACGGTTATCGAGATGTGAACATCACCAACATGACAACTTCGTTCAGGGATGGACTGGCGTTTTGTGCTCTGATCCACAAGCACAGACCGGATCTCATGTGAGTTTTGGATAAGCTGATCGCAAGGCAATGCGAGAACGAATCCCAGCATATGAAGAGCGTTGTAGCCAATGGTGATAATCGGGGGTTGTCTGTGTTTCTTGTACTGCTTTTCGTGATCGATGTAATCGGTTCGTTCTTTATTGCTTATTTCAGTTGTGGACTGAGTGTAATGTTCATGTGATGACAAACAGCTGCGAGCAATAGACCTGAAGGTGACGCGTACTCTGATTGCTCTGCTTGATGGCGACTGTACCTTTTTTTGGGTGACCTGGAGTTTTGCTTCTCAGTGGAAATGCAAAGCGGGTTAATCCCAGGCGGAGTTCTATGCAATTTTAAATGGTCTTTAATATAATGACATGTGGAAGCTGTAAAAACATAACATATCCTACGGATGGCGTTCTGCTTTTTTGTGTCTGTTTCTTTGTACAAACATATGTAATGAAATACGACGTACGGTGTTTTTATTTTCAGTATGTTTTTTTTAAAGAATTATCAGTGTGTAAAGGGGTGACCCTTGCCTTATGTCAGACGTATGTAGACTGTTTGGCTGTTAAGTTTATCCCATAAAATTCAAATCCGTTTCTTCATATTCCGTTAAGATAAACCACCCCGAACAAAGTTTATCGCCGGTAATCCCCCCCTTTGGCGAAACTCAGTCCCACTCCGGTCATGTCCTTTACTGCGTGTACTTGTGTATTTCTGGGGAATTTTGTATAATTGGCACTGTGTCTCCTACGTTTAAGTATATATTAACAGTTTAAAACTTAGTCAAAGTTCTTGTGTGTCAGTGCATATTTTGCAAGCAAATAGGTGAGTGATTCTGTATATTTAAAATAGGATAACTGATGTACCGCACAAATAATTACAGTGTATACTTGTATAAGAATAAATGCAGCGTGATTTTAACACTTTCTTTCATTCCCTTATGCCTTTCCCCCAGAAATTACGACTCCCTGTGCAAGGAAAACGTATATGACAACAATCATTTGGTAAGTTTTTTTTTTTTTCCTCCTTTTTTCTTCTTTCATCTACTTTATTTCCAGAAACTCTTCAAGAGCAGACCTCAAATTCAGCTTTCACCTGTGCGCAGTCTTTGTTGTTGGTTACCTGACATGCAGGTCATTCTGTGCCAACAATGCGGTGGAACCGGGAAGATCTCGTAAGAATGATGGTATAGGGTTTCCGCAAGCTGTATGCAGCTCCTGTCGAAGGCGCTGTTTTTGAAAGACACTTAGGATTAAACATTCAAGGTGTGCGATTCAGCGTCAATAATACTGCAGTACGGCGAAAGCTAAGCGTCTAAAAGTGTGAGCCGAGATGAGACTGCCGCAGCTGCAGTGAGCAGTGAAAGCTCTCGTCAGAGCGCCGTAATACTTGCTTATCTCAACATCTCCACGTTCCATTTTAGTTTCTAGCATATCGCCCGATAGTCACCCATATGAAATGGGATTTTTTAATCAGTTAACACATTTAAAAAATGAATTTTAGACATGCTACGGTGTTGTGGCCTCCATTTACCACGCTTTAAAAACCTGTCCTCTAAAGAATGGTTTTAGTTCCGTTTCCAATATTTTAGCAACATGCACAGCTCTGTTATAAGATCTTCTGTAAACTGCCCAGGATGGTGTGATGATTTCTGCTGCATGATGCGTTAGCTATACTTTTATAAGATTAGACTTAAAATCACTTTGAGGCATGGATCGAGGGGGGTGGGGTCGACCAGTCTTGGTTAAATGTTGAGAATCGCTTGAGCTAAATCGCCTGAAGCTTCTTGTCATGAATGTTTGTTTGTCTTGTCAGTGTGTTTCCCCAACAGCTGCTCTTTGTCTTGCATTAAGTGACGCTTCTTTCTGGTCTCGCGCTTCTGTTTGCCTGTTTTGGATGCTTTCTGAATGGAACTCAAACGCGCTGCCTCCTCTGACGCTGTCCCACGTGCTGTTAGTCTGGCTTTTAAGTTTAACCGGCGACACCAGCGGCATAATGGAAGCTGTGCGCTTAATTGTAGGCTGACCAGGATAATGGACATTATTATTATTATTTTTTTGCAAATTGCTTATAGTTTTTGTATCCGGCAAAACAGAAGGGATATTTTTTGACCCAAAATCCTGTTCAAACTATTCCCGTGTGGGTACCCACGGACTGGTGATTAGACTCCACCTGTCACTGATGTGCAAAGGGGGACATAATTTTTTTTTATTTTTTAAACCATTAAACTTGTTTTATGCCTCCAACATGTTTCTTTTAGGCTCCTCCCATTCCTTCACCCTTTCCCTGGCATTTTTTATTTTTGTTTCTCTTTCATTTTGGACATAATAGTTTAAGTGAGCAAAAATGTAGCATTGAGATCTGTCGTAGGCTGCTCGTTTTCTCAATTGCTGATGCTTGTCTCTCTTTGGACTTTGCCAGTACAATCCATGTTTCTTTAGTGGTAGCAAGGAATCCAAAGTAGACTTTTGTCAATATGCTAAAATGGCTCTGCAGCGCACAGCAGTACCTGATTTCCAAATGTGTCTTGCTCCTACAATAAAACTGCTCCTCAGTACCGAATCCCAGCTTGTAGTGTTTTAAGGCTTTAGCTCAATCAGAATGTTTTCCTTTGGCCTGCAAACTTCCGGAATGTCTGAATTTTGCAATTGGGGAAACGTATAAGTAGACATATTCCCACACTTCTCTGAGAGGGTCTGGTGCCAATATCACATCTGTGAGAATGTGTTTTGTGGCGTTATATTGCTGCATTGTGCAATAGATGGCAATAGGGGCAGGAGGAATTCCATCATTTTGAGCACAACAAATGGGAGGGGGAAAAATGAACTGGACAGTGTACAAAATTTCTGCACCACCCAACCCCCCCAGGCAGAACTTTTATTACTGCTTATCCTGTACAGGGTCAGGGGGGGTATAGTGTCTGTCCCAGGACGCACAAGGCTGGTGCACCAATCGCAGGCCATGTGCAAGGGGACTTGGGTTGTTTTTGTGAAGTTCAAGATGTTCTAACTTTAGAGCCATGGCCGAGGTGTGTGTGTGGGTGGGCTGTCAGTCAGGCCTCATACCCTCTAAAGGAAGAGATGCATCATTATTCTGTTTCCTGCCTTTTCGATTGCAGGAAGCGTGTTTTTTTTTTTTTTTTGCTGCTGGAAACTGCTGCAGCTTGGACACTGTTTTTAAGTGCTGACTCTCTGGCTCTCTAGCGGACGCGTGATTGGACCGCGCTGTGTCCGTGGACGCGTGATTGGACCGCGCTGTGTCCGTGGACGCGTGATTGGACCGCGCCGTGTCCAGCAGCCTCACCACAGAATGTGAGGTGCCACCTGCGTGGTCGTGGATGGCCGCGCTGGCAGTGAGCCAGAGGTCAGAGCAGGGGCGCTGGGGGGTGCATTATCAATGAGCTGTCACCAGCTACGTGATGCTCATTGAAATCCACATGATGCACAAGAGCTGTAGTAGAAATGACCCCCCCCCCCCCAAAGTCCAACTGGGAGAAATAAGGATTCCTTGAGTATTTTGTAAGTTTAATAGAGCTCCTGTGGCTAAAGTGAGTCAGTGTCATTTGGGGTCCGCTGGGGCCCGATTCCAGCACGGTTTTCAGATTTCCCTTCTCACACACACCTTAACCAGATAATTACCAGGTTCAGTAGGGCTTTGAGCAGGGAAACCTGCAAACCATGCTGAAATCTGCCCCCCCAGGACCAAACTGGGACTGGGGGACCCTGGGCTAAAGGATGTCAAGGGGTGGCTTTCGCTGGGGGTGGGGAAGTGGGAAGCTGCAGTATTTCATGATATTGCAACAGTAATTGGTGAAAAGAAGTTTCTATACGTTTATGAACATATTCATAATGCTTGCATATAGCATTATAAACATGGCTATGAATATAAAAAGGCACAGCCATGTTTATTATGCATTATGAATGCTCCATGAAGCTCTCATTTATAATGCAATATAGAAACCTTTTATGCATTATATTGATCAGTATAAGCATTAAGGATGCTTTGTACTGCATTAAAGATCTATAAGGCGTTATAGATGAGGGCTTCATTCAGCATTTATAATGCTTAATAAACATTGATATGTTATGCCTTTTTGTAAATATTTAGAGCTGTGTTTTTATAATGCTTTATGAATGTGTCATTACTTTTGAAAATGTTTTATAAATTACTATAAACATGGCCTTAAGTGCTACCAGAAGTCCTTTTGTTAAAAATGAAGTGCCTTTTCTAAGCTACAGTATATGAAATGTATCGATTTCCGAACCTGACTGTTCCCCACCTGGCCATCACCTCCAGCTCTCCTACCCCCGCGCGTCGCTCCCTCTCACCTGGCTCCTCGGTAATCCTAGATGAACAGGGGTATGGTTCCCTTCTATATTTTATCACCGGTGTGCTCGGGTCTCGCAATCGCGTCGGGTGTCAGTTTGCACGCTGCCGTGCCGCTCGTTCTCTTGTTCATCCTACCCTGTCACCCCCCCACCCCGCTATTGTGTTTAATCCTGTAGCGGCGCCACGTGAGGGTTTGGGGTGTGCGTGTGCATGCTTTCTGGGTCTGCTGCACAAAGCCTGCTTATCACCTCACTGCTGTCCAAAGGAAACACCATCTTCTTTAGCCAATTCTTGTTCAAGATTTTTTTTTTTTTTTTTTTTTTTTTTGTCAAGGCTGCTCTCTAGTTTCTTTTTGTTTTTGAACAACGAACCATTGTTGCCTTTTTCTGTGATTGTCTATCTTGCTGCTGAGAAGCTATGGAGGACCAAGAGACGCTGAGCAACGCTATAGGTGAAATGGAGTCCTGGCCCTTTTAAGCAGAATTATTTCTGTTTTATGTCAACATACTAGACACATGGTGTTAAGTAAATGGAGACCCCCCCCCCCCCCTCAGGAGCACCATAGAAGGATGGTTCAAAGTCTGAAACTAGACATCCAACTCTTGCCTTATGACTTATGTTCTCCTGTGGTTGACAAGTGGTTGACATTTATCATTTATTTTTTTTGACTGTGGTCATCTTGTTCGCAGGCCTTCTGCGTGGCGGAGGAGCAGCTGGGCATCCCGGCGTTGCTGGATGCCGAGGACATGGTGGCTTTGAAAATCCCCGATCGCCTCAGCATCCTCACTTATGTCTCACAGTATTACAACTACTTCCACGGCCGGTCGCCCAGTAAGTGTGGCAGCTGCCCCTGGATAGCCGTTAAAACCACTGTGTAGCCACGACAATTAGAGTTGCCCACTCTTACCAAACACCCGATACATTATTGGGGTAGTCTGTATATTTTGCTGGTGGTTCTAGCATATGCTGACTAATAGGAGGCGCTCTGTGCTGGAGTAGGGCACTCCTTAGTGCTACAAGGTTCAGTATATGTTGGCCTTACTGCTCTGAGTATGAAAGTTGTAATATCATGTACTAATCCATCTTGGAGTACCTGTTGCATGTTAACAGCATAAGAGATGTATGCTCTCTTCCAGTAGGGGGCTTGGGTGGCATTAAAAGGGCAGCAGAGGGATCCAAGGAGGAGCCATCAGGAAAGAAGAATCAGCCTGTGGTGGCCAAACCCTTCGCCTCTGTGCCCGCCACGGAGAACCAGCCACCCTCCACTCTGGACATCTCCATTACGAAACCTCAGAGACCCTCACCAAAACTTCCCCGAGTCCCCGACCAGGTACGGACCGGGCCGTCCAGCTCTGCCGCAAAGGTCCACATGAACCAACACCGTAAGCGTAGATATTTCCTGTAAAGTAGTTCAAAGTAGCGCTTCGCTTTGGGCGGCCTTCTGGAATGTGATGGACTTTAGAAAACTGGAACGCTGCTCTGCTGTTGTCAGACATAAGGCAGAGAGATCGAGCGCCTGTCTACCGCCCTGTGCTGATGGTGCAAAGTCTATCGCAGGGCAAATGGGTTGGGTTTGTTTATTCTTTTTGATTAGGTTTAGTTTCACTTTTAGTATGAGCTGTTGTGTTTTGACAACAGATCTGGTTATACAGCTTAGTAACAATTGCTGTTTCACTGCAACATATAAGACAAATATTTTTATACCCAGTAAGTAAATGAGCTCACAAAGTCCATCCCCATGATATGTAGGGTAGTGTGAACAGTGTATGGGGTATTTATTATTTTTAACACAGGCAGTCTTACCCCTCCCCCCACCCCGACCACACTGCCCATATTTTTTACTCCGATAATTTATGAATTGTACATCCTGTGTTATTTAAATTTAGGGAAAAGTCTTTCTCAGTCTTTATGTATAATTCTGAAGATTTCTGAAGAATAGGGTTCCAAAATAGGCAGGTATAGCTGTCATTTGCATGAGGACTCAGCGGGGTCAGGCAGCTCTCTGAAATGAGAGAAGACACTGCAGCCTTTAGCCAAAGCTTATTCGGACAGGATAACCATGCAGTGTGAAGGCATGCTAGGTTTGCGGTTCACTGCATGACTTGTGACATTGTAGCGCCCTCTAGTGTAGAATTCCTTAAGTTGGCGAGCTGGTAGCTTGTGCAGATGCCTTAATGGACTTTGGAGGATTTGGGCCATGTTTGTTTGGGATTAACTATACCCCCCATGTAGATTAATATGTATTTTCTTTCCGCTCCAGAAAAAGGTTCTGGTCGAGACATCCAATAAAACTGGCACTCTAAGCAGTACCTGCGTGGTTTGTAAAAACCATGTCCACTTGGTCCAGCGCCACCTGGTGGATGGAAAGCTCTTCCACAGGAGCTGCTTCAAGTAATGTCACACCGTCATTAGGGATGTAATTGTGCGTGCTGCGACGTGACACTGCTGGTGCTGATGGGTGCTCGTGTGCTGACAGGTGTGGCGAATGCTCCAGCATCCTCCTTTCTGGGACGTATAAAGTTGGGCCCAAACCCGGCACCTTCGTCTGCACGACTCACCAGGTCGCCAAGAGTGGGCAGAAGACTGTGCCCTCCCTTGGGGTGGCTCTGCACAGACATGACCCCAAAGCCGACACCGGCATCATCTCCTCGGGGCTCAAAAATGCGGGCAGTCACGCTCTGCGGTCCACCTCGGCGGTTCCCGGCGGGCCCATAAACGCGGTCCCGGCCGCGTCTCCCTGGACCCCCTCTGCTGCTAGGACTCAGGCGGCACGTCAGCGCTTCTTCCAGGCCGGCCTGGACCCCCAGCCAGTCTCCCGTGTACTGGCAGCCTCCGACGAGAAAGATAGAGCCAGGGTGTTGGTGACCAGCAAGCTGACCGAGCTGAACCGCAATAACAACAACACGGCGTCCAAAGTCGGGCTCTGGAAGGCTGACGGCTGGTGAGTCCTGCCAGTGTCCCTCTGCTGGAAAGAGAGTGACTGTTTCACAGGCTTAGAGGACCGTCAGGAATGAGTCACTTATTGTGTTTGTGTTTAGCTATCAGATCCTTCCACTTTTAGACTGGGGGGGGGGACTCCCTTCAAGCCTTTACAAGGGTATTACTGGTGAAAATGACACCTTGACTTTTTTTTTTTTTTTTTGGATGGTATGTGTTTTGGGGAAGTGATCCTGTTGGCTGTGGTGCTGAATCTCCACCAGTCCTGTCAGTGTAACGAGTCTAACGACCTTTGTCACCCCGGCCTCAGGAGCGGACCTGCCCCAGTTAGTGCCCCCGGTGGGCAGGGAGGCAAGAGCAGTGGTGGCGTGACGATAGTGGAGCCAAAGACTAGTAACAAGGAGTATCAGTGCTCCCCCTATGGGTCTAAAGGTGAGCTGCGTGAAACTAGGCTGTCTGTCCTAAGATGAGATGCTGCTTACAGCCAGAACCTTTTTTTTTCCCCCATTGGGAACCTGTGCTAATCTTAACTTAATGGAGGTTTATAATGTATGACCGTCCCCTCGAATTTGCCTAGTATCGGCTGTGCATGTAACCTCAGTCTAAGTGTTCAGATGCGAGTTTCCTCATGCTCCCTGGACCCCCTCTGCTATACGAAAGAGTCTGTAACCGCTGTCCTGTCCTGGTCTAAGGTCATTGCATTACTTGCTGGTCCTTAGGGTCCGATGGGTCGACATGTCCTTCAGGCTGGAGAGCAAACCTGAAACCTTTGTCTGGCAGACCAGAAACGAAGTAAGTTCCCTCATCCCCCCCCCCACCCTTCCTGTTCTTTGGTATGCTCCAGGGTAAATGGGTATAGCCACACGGGTGAAACTACAAAACGGCCAAGGGGGGAAAAAAGTCGACCTTGTCTGTCTCTACCCCCAGGATGTTTCCCCCCCCAGCCTCGCCGCGCTGCATAGTGATTGGCTGGCTGGGTGTGCAGCCACTAGCCCTGTCCCCTGCCCTCCCAAGCCCCAAGGAGTGTTGTGTTTGAAGCCCCCTCCCCCCCCACCTTCAGTGAAAAGCCCTTACTTTGAGTCTTTCTCGGCGATCCAGTTCCCTTCGTTTCTTATTTCCTGAGGTGAGACGGGAACAGGCGAGCTGGATTTGGCGCCGTAACCCACGGGGGATGCTTGAACCCCCCCGTACTCTCTCCCCAGCCCTGCAGCTTTTGTCAAATTCGGCTCCCCGGCCCCCGAGAAGACACCGGCGGGCCTCAGTGACACTGGCAGCGGCCGCCAGGCTCAGCCTGCGGCGACGTTTCCCAAGGCCTTTGGTGAGGCCCATGCCAGCCCAGGTAGGCATCGTCTTTGGCACACGAGTATGGCAGGAAGGTTAGTAACTGGGGCGATTCTAGGACATTTTAAGGTAGCAGGGGCATAAGAGGGTCTGTAAGTCATACAAAATTGTTAGTCAGTGATATGTTTTGAATTGCTTGGTGATGGGGGGGGTCCCAAGGAACCAATCAGCTTTCAGAAGAGGCCAGTGCCCTTGTGACCCCGCCCCCTGCACACTCCACTGGATGGAAGTAGCAACCCGACCTGTGTTACAATAGTATCTCCCACTCCTTTGCATAGCAGTCATATGATTTTGCAGCAACTTTCAGCTAAGGTCCACTCAAGGAGGAAATCCTGTCCTTTCTTTGACCAGACCTTCAGCTCAAATTGCAAATCCCCCCCCCCCCCACCACATCACGCAGTCATGTGCTGCTGGCTGCTCAGTGACAAGGTGCATAACTGCGCATGGGAAAACTTTACAATTCTAATTAGCCAGCTAAGTATTTATTGATTATTCCCCCCCCCCATCCTCACAGGTTTGAAGGCTGTTAAAGGTTCACCTTCCCTATACAGCCTTAAGCCTGAAATGGAGTCACCCAAGGTAGGGCTGTTACACATTAATTATGCTTCTGACATATGGTCCTTCAATTGCTGATAGCAGAGCGTGGGGGGTGGGGGGGGGGTAGAATTGACAGGAGTCTGTTTAGAGCCTCATAGATAAATTTATCCTGGGGCTGTGCTGCCTTCTGATAAATTGTGCCCAAGACAAAAGTCTGCGAAAGATGAATTAAAATGCTGTCAGCAGGAGGAGCCTGGTAAGAGTGCGGGGAGAACCAGAAGAAGGTCAGGTTCCTCCACAATACTTACTGGAATTGGTGGGGGGGCTCTGCCATGAAGGGATTTCCCCTGTGTGTTTGTGCTGTACAATTTTACTAATTATAAATACATTTTTTTTCATAGAGGTGAGGCCAGAAAATGACCTAGTTGGGCTACGTTTAATGAAGTGGGTGTGAGAGATGTATAATTTATGACCATTTCTGGGATCCATACTATGTAGATGCTTCTACCCTCTTTAGCGTTGTTGCTAGCTGTTAGCGCTCAATGGCGTCTACATCAGGACAAACTCTGTTTTCTTTCCTTGTGAATGGGAGCAAAGACTGTTAGTGTCTGTGCTGCGAGTGGCACTCTGCTGTGTTCTGCTGAGCTTCTTAATTCCGTTCGTCCTGCTAATTTCAGGACCAGTTGTCGTACATCTCGAAGGAGGAGATCCAGCAGGAGCTGAAGGCACTGGAGGACGGCCTGAGCGAGCTGGAGAGGCGGGGCGTGGAGCTGGAGCAGCGTCTGCGGGGTGCTGAAAGAGGTGGGGGGCCGGCCCTGGGGCTGCCGCTCTGTCCGTGTGCCCCCCCCCCCCCCCCCCCCCCCCCCGCCAAGCCCTCCGCCCTGCCCTGGGGCTGCTGCTCTGTCCGTGTGCCCCCCCGCCAATAATCCGGTACAGAGTCGCAGTGAGCCTGGCGGTCCTGAGGATGAGGCTGGAGACAGAGTATCTCTCCAAATTCACACCCCGACAGCAGACAGGAGACCGGGCTGAGACACACGGGCTTAGTGGTACCATTTTACCCAGCAGCAGTTTATCGGACTGCAGCAGGAACCTGGGCTTCCTGGAGGGAAGCAAGTGACATGCAGGATGTGCATGCAAACTGCACCCCCAGCTGGCAGGCCCTGGGTCTGTAGCGTCGCCCACCGAGCCGTACATAGTCTGCTGTAGGCCTTTAGCTCAGAGGCCAACATGAAGATAGAGCCTCTTCATCACCATGCAGAACACAGATGTTCCCTCAGCAGACACCAGTGACACTTGTTAGCCATTTGTACAGGTGCAGAGGAATCATGTGTGTCTCCTTTAGACCCTGTACAAGTGAGTGAGCTTGGGGTCAGAGTGCAGGTTCAGGCTCTTATCCAGCACCCCAGAGCAGTTTTTAGGGTGATTTTCAAGGTAAGGGATGACCTGCTAACTGGCAAAGACTCCTAACTCGCCACACACCCCCTTAAGGGTGTCTCACTGACCCGGTTGATATCCCGATCTTTAATGGTCACTGAATGCTCTCATTCCCAAACTGTGCGTGTGTGAAGTGCCGCTGTCAGATGCAAAGCCTCATTCATGAATCGCTTTGTCACAAAGACCCAAATATGGTCCATCTCCTTCCGGTGATCTTCATTTTCTCCCCAATAAGCCTCCAGTCTCTGTGGAACTCGGATTCAGGATGGAAACAGGCTAGGGGGGGGAACTCCGGCTGGCTGTAGAGTATGGGGGTGGGGGGCCTGCCCCCCCCCCCCCTCCCCTGGAATGACCTTGAAGGAGCTCTGATGCGTCGGTGACTTAATGTCTGGGGTCTGCAGACTTGCCGCCCAGCCGGCTGTCCTACTGACGACAGACTCCTCAGTTTAATCAGGACTTGCTGCTGCTCCTGCCTCCTGCTCCCAGGCCAGCGTGGAGCCATTAAGGAGAGCTGTGGAGGAGCTAATTGAAAATGTCAGATGAACCGCAGTGGACTCCAAAGTCAAATGGGTGTCTGAGGGGAGCCATATCATTTAATTTTTTTATATATATATATGCACGCGCACACATGTGTGTGTGTATACACACACGTGTGTGTGTATATATCATTTAAAATAGAGAGGGGGCAACTTAAATTTTTGTTTGATTTTGCGCAGAGGGGGAGCTGAAATGAAATTGGAGGTTGTTACTATGTTCTGAAATCTGTTAAATGCTTATATTTTAATAGGATTTACTGATGGCATTTCAGCCGCTACCTGGAAGTATTTACCCTATAAAGAGAGTGTCATAATTATATGTACTTGAGTAAATGATTGGGGTGTGTGTGTGTGTGTTTAAGTTGAATTGAATTTTGGTACAAATGCATAGTAAATTCCTTCTGAATGTATGCTGACTTTTTATGCTTGGGGGGGGGGGAATTCAGTGCACTTAAGACCAAGAAATGTCCATATTAAACTAAAAAATAAAATGTTAGTATGTATCAGTAGTTCCTCCTAAATTCCCATACATCAGATCGTCATTATACACTCTGCACATGAGTGTTGCTGGTGCGTCTCTCACCTGCGGATGGTGCTTTTGTGTTTCAGAAGGACAGGATGATGTTTTTGATGCGTTGATGGTGGACTGGTTCGCCCTCATTAGCGAGAAGCAGAGTCATGTGAGAAAGGAGTCCGAGCTGGTCTACATGTAAGGCCGCCGTCTTCCAGCAGGGGGAACCCGGCCGCTTGCCTAGCCGCAGCTGTGTGGCCAATATTTACCTGGAGTTCTGTGTGCGGGTTTGCTGTTTAGTGCGAAAACTCAGGATTTGGAGGAGCAGCAGCCTGAAGTGGAGGTGCAGCTGCGGAGGCTGATGGAGAAGCCGAGTGAGTCGCCGTGGTCTTATGGCAGGGTGGGCAGACCTCTGAGGGGGCTTTGCTGCCACCTTGGGGGGGTCTGTAGTACGCAGTTCTACTGCGTCATATGTAGCCATGTCCCCTCATTAATGCAGGTCGTCTGAAGACGGCTGCAGATAACAAACGGGAGGAAGAGCTTATGGACAAGCTTCTGGAGATCGTCAACGACAGGAACGCCATCATCGAGGGGTTGGATGAGGACCGGCTGAGGTCAGTACCCCCCCCCCCTGCTCTCCCTGCTCTTCCCCTTCAACCCTACAGCTGAGCCAACAGCATCTGGGTGGCCATCTCTTGGTAACGGGTCTTGCCGCTGCTTCGAGCGCAATCTGACTCATGTCGTTGCATACCTCATCTTTATCTTCCGTCTTCTGGCACGTAGATGTTTTGTTGGCAAGTTAAGGTCCGCTGACGTGGCCTGTGTTTATGCTCCTTAATGATCAAAGGTGATCCTGAGCTCTGAATACCGTCATTAGGGATCTTTCCCTGTCTTGAATGACGGCACATTTAGAGCCCTTGTTAAATTAGACAAAGTTAGACGGGAAGACTAAAGCTTTGTACTCCAATTTTTGGAGGAATTGTTTGGCAATTTCTCCGATTTTATTTATTTTTTTTTTTTTATCAATTATTCACACCTTTTTAAAGGTTCTCAAACCATCTTCATGGTGTAGAAATTGTTTAAATTTCAGAAACGCGCAACAAAACATTAGCAGATTAATCTATGTATATATCTATTAGCAATGTATAACGTCATACTGCAAATTGTAAAACATACATTTTCAATATAACAGGCCAAGGAGAGATGATACGTCTCACTGCTATAACTGTCACGCTATTAAATAAATACTTCAGTCTCATTGTCAAAAGTTAAAAGGACAGTCAGTCAACTACACTGTAACAATGTAACGTAATTACTAGCTAATTCCGCTTCACTCTCTGCTTATTTAACAGCAGCAAAACTGGACATGATAGTCACGAATTTTGTCATGCTTATTTGAGTTGAGAACTGATGGGGATGTTCTTTTAATTGTTATTCAAGCAATGTATGTCTCGTGACCAACTCACCATGAACACACTTCACCGATGATCTCACTCGCGGATAACTGGTTCTCTCTGCCCGACTCTGGCTGGATCAGCAGGTTGCAGGATGTGTGGCACGTTATACACGAGTGTTGCCAACAGGGACATGTAGAGTGCCCTCTGGTGGACAAACTATACAACGCCAACACTCATGACATGGTTGAAGGGTGTTTCGTCCGTTTTTTATTTTTTTTTTGAAATATTAATTTATCGGTACCGATAGTTTGGAAAATGCCTAATATCGGCCGATAATATCGGCCTGCCGATAAATCAGTCGGGCTCTAGTATATAGAAATGAATCATCTGCCGATCCCAGAGCTCTTTAAGGTAAACTGCTTGGCAGAAGCCTCTCACCCGTGCCTGCAGATGAATCGGCACAGCAGATGAATCTGGCCTCCACAGCGAACCTGGAATCTGAACTGAAGAGAAGTTTTAAAAATATAGATCAAATGACATCAAACATTTATGTACAGCATCCCTCATGTGCCCGGGTGCCATAACACTATGAAAAGCATCTGTAAGGTTAGACTGGAAAGTGCAATAAAACAATGAATTCTTTACTACGAATAATCTATACTATGCTTTTCCCAATGTGTATTGACTGCTCTTACTTTAGGAAGTTTCCCAGCTGTTTGAGGTGCATAAGCAAAGGTGTCCATATCCATTCCCGTCTGGCATGTTGAGTTGTTGTTGAGTGCGATCATAAAATCACTCTGGGGGTGTGTGATGTACTGGCTGCTGTTTAGGGAGAAGGATGAGGATGAGCAGCTCAGCCAGATGATGGAGCAGCTTGGTGAGTCTCAGTGCCCCTCGCGCTGCCCTGAACCCCGGCCCCCCGGCCCTGAGCTTCTCTGTCCAAACAGACGAGCTCGAATAGAAAAGCATGCGTTTTTCATACACATACAGAATTCAGGACAAAGTGTTGCCGGGATTTTCCTTTGATTGCGTTTTGTAGTAGTGGGAACATCTTATGTTTAATTTCCACATGGAAGACTAAAATGTGATTTACATGCATTTTTGAAACAGGCAAGAAGAAAATCAAAAAGAAGCAAAAGTCTGTGGTTAAGAAGCTTTTCAAAAGGAAGCAGAAAAAGAGAGCAGGAAAGGCCTGCTAACAGGAGGGTCCGTCAGAGGTGAGCCTCCACGTTGGTGCGGGAAGAGAGAAGAGCGCCCTCTTTGGGTGACCGCCCCGCTTGCTTTTTCGCCTGGATACGCCCACGCTGGTGCGCCGGCGGTCCTGTGATCTGCTGTAATTAGGCTGCGTAGGGTAATCTCACTGTATTGATGCGTTGCTGTTCCTGGATCTGTAGTCATGGTCTCATTATCCTCCACCGTTTGAAACTAATTCTTTGTTCAATTGACTGTTACTGTTATTTCTTTTTCTTTGAAGATCACGCTGAAAATGTGGTTTGTGCTTATTTTCATACGAAAGTAGTTTTGGTCTAAATCTTCCCTGTTCTGGGGCTTCTGTTCAGTTTGTGTCCTATGCTGATGTTTCATTTATAATTCTGTGTGTGTTTACGCAGCCTGAAACCAGCACCTTTTTATGACAAAAACACCATTCGGGTTTTGATTTTAACAGTTTTAAGACTCGTATTAAAGTTCAGAGGTATGTTTCTGTGAAAGGCTTTTAATGAGGAATATTTTAATGCTCCCCCCGTTTTTGTGCTGAAACTGTCACGGGGGGGCAGTGTGTTAACTGCCCTCCTCTGAGGGACTCCTACACGTTTTGGAGGCTTTTATTGGAGTAAACATTTTAATCTGAGTCCTGCTTCCACTTGGGTGTGTTTGAGAGAATTTGCATATAGTACCTTGTAATGATTATACTGCCGTAAAGTTTTGCCCCTCCCATAATAAGGATTGTGCATATGTAATATAACTGTCTGCCTGATTTTACACTATTCCATGTTAATTCATTACTGCCTTGGCATGGGATTATTTTAAACATGATTTGCTCTCCAATAAATGCATTATTAATAAAAAAAAAAAATTGTCATGACTTTCTTAATGCATGGATTCACACACCAAAATAAGCCTGTCCTATCATTTATGAGAGGTAATTAAAACGAACTCTTTCCCGAGTCCGCTTCAAGATATTCAGATTTTTCTCACGTCTGTGAACATATTTATGTGGTTATTGTGAATGTTGTTCCTCTCTGGCTGCATTTTATCAGTGTGTTTGGAGTACCTATAACCCACCAGCAGGGGGCAGACACCCTACCCTGCCATCCCGTTAAACTGGCCGTTAAAAGTAGTTTGCGTGTTGCTGTGTGAGATTCTGTGCAGTTGGTGCAAGTCAAATGTTCGTAGTTGAGACACCATATCAATAAGATTTATGTTGAATCAGCTTTCTTTGAAGTAGCCAAGTAGTTTTGGGGTGGGAGGGGCATGTTAATGATTCCCCGCCCCCCCTCCCCTTTAGTGCCATAGACTAGGTCACATGTTTTATTAATAATTTTCGAGTTAAGAGCCCTCACTGTGTTCCTTTTGCACCGAGCGTTTCGGGAATGTGGGTTAATGTGACACACCCCCTGTGCGAGTGACAGCCAAGGGTGACTGTGATATAAGTTAATTAAAGCTTTACATTCACTCTGCCGCTCACGTCGGCGCCCCTGCAATTAAGAATCAAAGGCGAGGCTTTAATATCGGGGCCGTCTGATACACGGTTTGAACAGGAGCCGGTCCTGCTTCACATGGCCATTTAAAGCAGCCTAGAATTAAAGATGCATTAATATTCATAAGTGAAACAATGATTGCCACCAAGGCCTGCTTTCTGAAACCACGCTGCTGGTGCTCAGCTGACACCAGGGGGGACATTAGTGTCAAAGGAAGCAGTTTTTTTAGATCTTGTTACAAAGATTGACTTTTTTAATTTTGGTGGGTTGGGGTTACGCAGATGGGCCTTGGTTGTATATCCTATATCACATGCAATTTATGCTTGAAAAGCGGCTTACCCTTTTATATAAATAAAAAAGTATCTTGTTGCCATGACAGCAAGAAATGCAGAAACAAAACAGCGCGCAGGACAGCATAAGGCCTGGACGTTTTAACATGGTATAAAACAGCGATGTCACAACCCGTGTGTGAGAGGTAATAAGTGTCACCCTTAGCTCTGGCTGCTGTAATTATTGTCCCACAGGATCGCTGGCACTGTCAAGCGAGGGACAAGCCTTGCCTCTAATTATTGCCCACTGAGGTGAAGGACTAAGTGATCTACTCGTCAAGATCAGAACATTTGTGGTGGGGGGGGGGGCAGTGGGGCAGCTCGGCTCCTTTGCTCAGCGCTTCCCATGGGCCACTTGTTTTGTAAAACTGAGCTTAGACTCGCTTGCTGGCCCCTCAAATCGTAGATCTTCCCTTTGAGATCATGGTCTTGCTGTAGTAATCGTGCATTATAGCTTTTGATATATATAATTTATAGCCCAGTGCTGCTTGCTAGCTTTCTGGGCTCTCCCCCCACGTTATGGAATCCTTTCCAACAAACATAACCATTACATAACCTTTTAAGCAGTATAAGGTCATGCGAGCTTGGGACCTACCCAAGGAGTCAAAGGGTGACGGCTATCAATTGCTCACTGGGGGAAATCTAGAGATGCAAATGAGGCAATTGCATGTTTTTTGGATTCGGGAGGAAGCATGTGATCAACGTGTAAATTTCAAGCTTTTATTGTCTTGTTTTGCCTATTTACAGTTTGGAGACTGGGGGGGGGGGCGAACAGTAGGGCTAAAAGCAGTGCGATAAGAGACGACAAGAAGCAATAAATAGCAGGTGCGTTGGATGTAAAGGGATAGGCACTAGGACCGGGAGGTCAAACTGTATTATTCAGGTAAAATTTTAATTTGAAAAACATTTACATATTCGACAACAGAAATCCAGGTTTGAATTTTTGATGGTTTATGTTGGCAACAGTTAAGTCATCACGTTTCCTCATTTCTTTTTCTCCTAATTTGTCTTTGTTGCGTAACGTAAAATACATGATTGGCCACTAGGGGCAGACTGCTATTAATTGAGCTAGCCCAAATGGCTGAAACTTCCCAACAAGTAGGCCAGTGGAACAATGTGTGATTTTCAAGAAGAATGTAGCGGTACGGCAACTGTTTTGAATTTTGCTGGCAGTTATTATTGCAGAGACCCCTCACCTCCCCGCTTCGTGAATAAATAGCATTGGTTTGGAAAATACCGTCTGACATATACCACAGTGTAATGTATGGACTGTATGACGGTATGAAAAATAAAATGTTGCCCAAACATAGTTTTACGTAGCCTATTTTATGCATGTAAGTCTATGTCCACTGTCTAATGTCAATCGTTTGATAGTTTAATTTCATGCCACAATTTAGATACCTTTCTCTGTTGCTGCTGGTGTTTCTGTCCTGTGGGTAGCTAAATAAATAAAAATATATTGTTATATGTTACTGTCTCATCATTTTCCTCACTTAAGATTGTAGCAGGCTAACATTGCAGGTTTCACCATCAAGATCAGTTGCCGGTAACTGGCTTAGGCTACTGCGCGATAAAGGCCTAGTATAACTGTAAAATAATATCAGAATATCTTCATATGATAAATCTGTTATCAGGGTTGCCAAGTTTAGTCAGCTGGCTGGAGTGAGATTTAAATTGGCAACAAGTCTGCACACGCATTTACATGTATGTAACAGTTTTATTACCTTGTAAATAGTCTGTAGGGTTTGTAAAGTACCCCAGTGCTTTTGATATAGCTAATTTGAGGTTTACGACGGAATAATGTAGATTTGCTGTAAGATTTCTTGCATGAGCGTGAGAGTCTGAAAGCGTGAGTGTCCTTGGTTATGTTATAAACCCTAGCGGCCGCTGAGGTGGAGGTCCTGTGAGAGTGCGCTCTCACTGGGTCTGCTGCTTTTCCTTCCTCAGGAACATATTTGTCAACTGACTGACATAAAGGCAGCTGCCCCTAAACAAACAGGCAGGAAGGAAAGAAGGAACACAGAAACATAGCTAGTTGACTTGATGGAGTGTCTTTCTCGGGTTTCGCATGAACCATTGTCCCTTCCCAAAAATGACCTGGTCTTGCCGCATTATTTCTTGGACGCTAAGATTTGTCTGTGTGCTTCTGCTAGAAAACTCCGCTGCAGCGTTCTTTAGCAGGGCCACTGAGGTAGATTTGTGCGGAGCCTGCAGACTTCGGCCTGGTGTCTCCCTCTGGCTTTATGGATCAAGAAATGACTTTCACACCCCTAATGCAACTCTAAATAACATTTATGTGTGCGTTTAGCCACACTCTACACCAGATCAGTGGATTATTTGCCTCAAATTTGCACTGGGGCACAGCTTAGTAAAGATGGTATTCGTGACAATCTGCAGCGTGTGGGGATGTTCCTGTAGCCTGCATACCCAAAATGCATATGTTTACTCAGAAACATTTGCTATATATGTTAACTATCGTGTCTTTTTGGGGGGGGCGGGGTAAAGGCCTGCCCTCTGAGTCATTTAGCTAATGTTTTAAGCACAAATTTAATTTCCATCCATCCATCCATCCTTCCATCCATCCATTTTCTATATCCACTTGTCATATGACTGGTCAAGGAGTCTGGAGCCTATCCCGGAAGCTACAGGAACACGGCAGGGAATAACCCAGGACGGCGCATCAAATAGAGTTTTTAACACAGACTGGATTATAGTAATTTCCATGTATGTGCATCGCACCTGGTCATTCACTCAAACGTTAAATATTTTTTGTGATTTTGCTGAGAAACCTACAGTTTTTTTTGAGAATTTACCTTAGCTTTGGAATAAGTGGAATCTTTCTGAGCTTTAATAGCCAGCGGAAATGATTTTTATTTATTTAGCTTCACACGACTGCAGATTCCTCATGGCCATGGGAGTCATTTAAATCTTTTGTTTTTCAGTAGCTGAGGAGGTTACCCTTGGCAGGATGCCAGTGAGGAAGCAGACGTGACCATTGCATTCATTTTGTTCCCATCTGTGCTCCATTGTTCACGTGCTACCGCGAATTCCTAAAGCACGCTCCCCGCGAATTACGCTTCTGCGGGTCAGAGCAGCAAACCGCTAATTGCTACGATGCTGATAAATAATTATGGCAGGAATTTTTTTGATGCTGATACTGTAGGAAATTATGGGATTTGAAGGAAAAAAAATGAGAAAAAGAAGCGAGTAGAATGTAAATGAGAATTTGATTGTGTGACTTCCAGACGGCAAAATATTTAATTTGTTGTAGTGGCAGTTTGGTAAAACGTGTCATGATGAATAATTAAGCTGACGCTCATATTTTCTCCAGGCTTAAGAACCTGTGTCACCTTTATAACATACAGCGTCAACCTGCGCTTTTCCTTAAGCTGCTGTAGAGTGATTTCCTTGACATCTCGGAGCTGCAATTAAAGCGTTAACCCCATCAATTTGGGGCTAGCACATTTTCCTGGTTAAATACATTCTCCTTGGAAATGTACGTTTTCACATTCTGACATTTTAAGCCTTTTAACAAAATTCCAAACCAGATTCACAACCTTCCCCCGGGGATTAATTTAGCATCTGAGTAAAAATGGAAGCGGTGTATGTGTGTGTGTGTGCGTGCGCGCGCGCCTTATTTTCCATTGACTTGTAGTATCAGTGTTAGCGTGATACTAATTAGCAAACAAATTACATTTTTGGCAACAGTACACTTCATTGTGACAACGAGGCTTGTAGAATAACAGAACCTGAATAGAATAAATCCTCCTTTGTGAGCAGAAGAGCCGCTAAAAGATGCTAACATGTCAAACTGGCACAGTAGCTTCCCTACACAGCAGATGCGTGTGGTCTAATGAACCCTCAAAAGTTTAACCCCGTATGGCCTGGCAGGCTGATGCATGATGGCTATTAGTGTCCTGGTTCAAATTTTAGTGTCCCAAGTGTCCTCCTCAAGTGGCTCCCAGCCCCTCTTGAGCCATTGTTTTTCCTGAAGCATTTCAAGCATTGTTACAAAGGAAGTTGGGAGATCAGGAAGAACGAGC